AGACCGGAGGGCCCGGAATAGAACCCTGAGCTCCCTGCTCGCCATCCATATCCGATGATTCCTCATCAGACTTTTCTGACCCCAAATTCTGGAACAAACGGAAGATAACCAAAGCAAAGGCCAGTCAAGGAAGTGGCATTGTCTGGGTGAGGTCCTTGAAGATAGTAGTCAGGTCTGTTCCCTTTTAATCCGCTAGTGACTAGTCTCTAGCCTGGTGCCTCAGCCATACCGGGAAGTCAGCACACTTTGCATTAAAGCACTAATTCTGTTCTTGGTAGAAAATTAAATTCTTTAACAGTGCCTGATGCTGCATGAGCGTCATGTGTGTCGAGCTGTTCCTCAGAATATTTGCTCTGTGATCACGATGATTAAAGCCACCAAATATGCCTTTCTGGTGTGGCTCAGTGGTTGAGCGTCAGCCTGTGAACCAGGAGGTCATGGTTTGATTCCCGGTCAGGGCACATGCCTGGGTTGTGGGCTCCATTCCCAGTGGGGGGTGTGCAGGAGGCAGTCATCAATGGTTCTCTCTCATCATTGATTTCTTTGTATTTTTCTCCCTCTTCCTTCCTCTCTGAAATCAACAAAAACATATTTTAAAAACAAACAAACAAAAAGCACACCTCCAAATATAAGAAAGCATTCAGTGGTTGTTTGCCAGGATTAGAATAATAAATTTCTGTATCTCAGACTTTTGTGAAGCCTGGTTTACTTGGGGTTACATGGCCTCTCCCCAAATAGGATTGCTTCCAAGATGCGGTAGAACCTTGCTCTGCTTCCCAGACTTGGTGTTAAGTAACCACGTGGGCTTGGGTTTACCCACGTGCAGATGGGCTTGTGCTTGCTGAGTTGGTTCCCCCCCAACCCCCCGGTTAACAATCAGAGGTATTCTCACCAGGAAAACACAGTTATAAGATTGGGATTTAGGATTGCGGCCTGGACAGTGTCTTACCCAGTGAGTTCCCTTCCCTGCTGGGGAAGTCCAGGAATACATTTTTGGATAATGAAGAAAATGTTCCACAAAGTTTCACTCTGCTGTTATGTTCATCTCACATCTCATATGTGTAGACATACAGCTTATGGCTTTTTAGTGTGTTTTTTTTTCCTTAGTGTGCATTTCACAACTTTACATTTTTTTTTCAGTTTTTGACACTTGTGTCTGCCAAAACTTCAGAGATGTAATTAACACAAACAATTGTGTGTTCGTTGGAAAAACCTTCCAATATCATTGAGGGATTAGTCCTATATTTTGATGACTTGATATGATTATAGACCCTTACAAATTAAAGGTACACTTAATTTCAGAGATGTTAGATGGTGATGCAAGTGCATTTTTCTCTTCATTATTCAGAATGCTAAGCCATGACAGCCCCTTAACTACAAATGAGCTAGACTAGCACGATGACTTCCATACCTCATGAGTGTTTACTGTGTTATGTATTGGACAAAAGTTGAAGATCCTATTCTCTTCTGACTAAGAGACGATAAAAGCTCATGGCTTATGGCTTTGTTCTGTGTGTGCGCATGAATATTTTGAAATTCATTGTAATGACCATTCAGTGTAACCATATGCAATTGTGCTTGGCACATTTTCAAGGTAATCGCTAGTGGAAAAATGCACATCTCGCTTATCACAGGAGAAGCAATTACGATGGAGGAAGGGCCTACATGCAAGGAAGCATTAGGGCATTTGAGATAAAGAACTGGCCTATTTGGAATGCAGTATTTCCTGTTCAGGTGAAAATTCTGAGAGTCTGTTACTCGTGGCTCAGCAAAGTTGTCTAAAAGTAAGGAAGATGGTGGGACTGTACACAGGACCCAGCATTTCTGTTTATTAACACCAATAGGCCAACTAAAAAATGAAAACTCAGAAGTGAAGCAATCCCTTGAGAGTAATTAAAAAGTGTATTGTCGGAATAACGGAAAAGAGGTACTTTTAGCGCTTACCGAGTGTTTTCACACGTTAATTCTTTGACGCTTGTTGCCCTGGTGAGGCACGCGTGGCAGATCTTGTCATTACCCTTGTCTGAGGTCTCACCATTTTTTAGGCAGAGCTGGGAGTAGAATGAGCAATTCCGATGGACCTCCGCACCGTCTGATACAGCCTTTCCATGCTCCCTAGGACCCAGCACTGATAGGCATCTAGCTGATAACAGCGGGGCCATCACATCACTCTTTACCAACGACCATTACACACGGGGTCTTTGTCCTGGTCCTCTCTCCTTTGCCTGTCCTTTGGTTCTGTCGCATGCACTCACAAAACCTGTGAGAGTAATTCCAAAAATAGTGCTTGCTGCAAGCTATCCATCCACCCACCCACCCACCACCCTCCTCCTCAATCCATCCATCCATCGCATCTAATCTATCATCTATCTATCTATCTATCTATCTATCTATCTATCTATCTATCTATCTTTCTATCTGTCTATCTATCTATCTATCTATCTATCTCTACCCACCTATCCATCCAGTCAGTAAGCTCATTTGTATATCTGCCTCTGTTCCCGTAATTCAGGGCCACCCTGCATGTCTTGTTCCCCACACGCTCTGACTGCATCTCTCCGGCAGTTGGAGAGACGGGCAGGGTGACAGTTGCTCTGGCCATTACCCAGGGGTGATAAATTGCGCAGTAATCTCCCCAGCACCATCGCGCATACGTGGGAAGTGTTTAGGGCATTGTAACTTGGGGGACTTTCCGATCTTTCATAAATAACCATGCATCTGTCCCTGTTATCAGGCAGCTTCCCGCGTCTGTTTCCAATTGCTCAGCGCCGTTCCAGGAGTGCATTAGAGCCCGGTCGGGTGGTATTATGGGGGATGAATGAGCCACGGGGAAAAGCCGCCGTATTTTTCTTAAAGCAATTCCGTCCCCTTTCTACAAAGTCAGAGCGAAGCAATTTGCAATGAAGATTTCTGTAGGATATTCTCTGTCAGGAAAGCCATCCCTGTCTGTGGGTTTTAAAAGTGCAGTTTTTGTACATTAAAGCTTTTCCCTGTACAGGTGGATTGTAAATATCACTTCTACCAGCAAATTCAAAATAGTCTTAATTCATTATGATTCATCGTGGATTCTTATAGAAGAAAAATGAAAAGTAGTTATAACCTGAGTTCAGTTAGAAATAAGTAAGTGTCTGATATGCATTTATATGGATGAGGTTCAGGAATTCAGGGAAAATTGTCAATAATTTTAGTTTGATGTGCTTTTCTGCAGGAAACAATTTCCTTTTCAGGGAAAAATGTCATTGTTAAATGAATTATAATTTAAGATTATTTTGTTTCCCGTCTGTTCCCATGCGTTTAATGAAAATTATGAAGTCACATCTTTTCTTACCATATACGGCCCGTAACCTAGTTTCTCAGAGTCTTTCCAGAAGAAAATATTTCCATAGGAATGACCCAACCTGTGCTGCTCGATTTTACAAAAGTGCCATCACTATAATCTAGGGAACGCCCTGCAGAATAAACGCACATACAGATAGCGCCGTAGGGGACATCAGATGACACGTCACGGCAAGGAGACGTGTGTTCAAGCTGACCTTGACGTTGCGAAGGGACTCGCAAGAACAAACATCAGACAGGAGGGTAGGTGAGAGGAGTCTCGGGCGTTTGGAGTCGGCACAGGAGGAATGGCAAGTGGGTTATCAGACCCAGAACCAAATGCCCACACGTTCCTAGAGCAAAGGGGAAGGGGCCTCAGCTGCCCGTCTCCCTCTGCACACTCACATCCGCGCACTACGGGCACACAGGGATGCTGCTTCTAGGACAGTGGTTCTCAACCTTCCTAACGCCGCGGCCCTTTAACACAGTTCCTCATATTGTGGTGACCCCCAACCATAAAATTATTTTCGTTGCTACTTCATAACTGTAATTTTGCTACTGTTATGAATCATCATGTAAATATCTGATATGCAGGATGTATTTTCATTGTTACAAAGTGAACATAATTAAAGCATAGTGATTAATCACAAAAGCAATATGTAATTATATATGTGTTTTCCAATGATCTTAGGCAACCCCTGTGAAAGGGTGGTTCGACCCCAAAAGGGGTCTTGACCCACAGGCTGAGAACCGCTGTTCCGGGAGATGTTCTCTGATCACCTTGTCTTGCTTTTCTTTGTGAAAAACAAGAGCGCGCGTAGCCTCCAGTCATAATGTGCGACTCATCTGAGGCTCCGAGAAACAGCAGTTGTTAAATAGCAAATCCAAACAAGCCCAGTTTCTTAAAAACTTTTTGATGACCCGTTCTGACGGTTGTAGTCTGCTTTGAGTAGAGTTTGTCTTTCTGGAAAAGGGAAACGGTTTTAAGGTGAGCGCCATGAGATTATTTTAAAAGAGGAATTTGATCAACGGTCTCCAAGAATACATTCTTAAGTACTTCATTTTGTGTCTGTTGTGCTTTGGTTTTCCTTATTCTGCGATTTCTCTCTTCTCTTCTCATTGACAGTGCTGTTCGGGTTAAGATCCTTTCCTCCAGTGCATCGCTGTTCTCTTCCCTTAATCAGCATCCTATTCCTTTTCCCTGAGTCTGAAACCCATCTGTTTTCCATTTCTGCACATCTTCAACTGTCTCGTGTCCTGGAGGAATGTTCTCATGAGTTCTGCTAGCAACACCCATAATAACCACGTAAATCGAATGCCTAATTAATTACGGAGGCTGCACAAAACCAATATGATCTGCTTGAATTAATGAATATGAAATTGAAAAAGAGAATATTGCTTACTGTCCCCGGGTAGGATTGAGGAATGTAAAGTTAACAAAACCGCACGGTAGATTGGAGAGTCAAGCTTGAGTTCTTAGTTTATAATCATGATCTGAAACCACGTGTAGGGTTTAACAATCCTGAACACTCTCTGCTCTTGGCTTCCGTTCCTGAGCCAGAATGAGTTCCCTGGTTAGGGTGCGCCAGTCATTGAGGACCCCGAGTAACGGCCGGTACCTAGTGTTACGGGGTTATCATTTGTGGTAAGTTTGTTCTCAAATTGGCATTTTTCTCCTAATTCAGGGTAGAAATTTAGCCTCTGGAGAGGTTGGATTTTTTCCAAGTGATGCCGTCAAGCCTTGCCCATGCGTAAGTATGAGTATTTTCTTCTGTTTTGGTTTTGATGTTGTAATTAATTGTCCAAGGATGTACAGTCGATGCTGGCCTGGTTGCTCGTTAATTTTGTTAATATTTCCTGGAGCAGTCATACTATGGCGTGTTTGAATGCTTTGGCCAATGTTGTTAAAATCCCCCAATCATTATGATTTGATTGTCAGAAAATATTTTTTAAAGGTAGGAGAGTATAGGCCAGAAGACAATGTAACTTTAGTAGAATTTATAAAATTAAATTGTCTACAAGGCTTTAGGAGGAATCACCAAAGCTACAGAGATGAACTGTACCAATTTCTCATTTTCCACTGAGGCGAGATGGGAGTCTAATCCAGTCCCCGTCACGCAGGGTTACAGAGAGATGTTACACTTAAACTAGTGTGTTGGAAAGCATGAAAGTCAAAAATTCTTCAATCAAATCTCTAAATACATTTTACTGTGCTTTAGCTTGTCATTACTGCTTATTTAATGTTATAATGACATTTTACAAAATCATCAAACACATTAGGTTGATACAAGGAGAATGAATGAGTACTCAAATATTATTACAGACGACTATAACATAACACGTACTGTCCAGTGCTTTATGAGATTTATAAATTTCTGTTTAGGGGTGACATTATTTTATCATAATTTGCTGTTTAGGGGGGATTTTTCTGTGAAACATTTAAAGTCCTTGACTCTAGGTAAATAAATGTTTTTACTAAAATAATGGAGTTGATGGTTTGGGAAAAACAAAACCACCCTTAATTTGCCTTGCTTGCCATATTTCAATCCTTCCTGGATCTCTATACTGGAGCATCTTTTTTTTTAAAAATATATATATTTTTATTGTTTTCAGAGGGGAAGGGGGAGAGAGAGAGAAAGAAATATCAATGATGAGAAAGAATCATTGATCGGCTACCTCCTGCATGCCCCACACGGGGGATCGAGCCTGCAACCTGGGCCTGTGCCCTGACCGGAATCGAGCCATGACCTCCTGGTTCATAGGTCGACGCTCCATCACTGAGCCACACCGGCTGGCTGGAGCATCTTTTTAATGTTACACGTGTGAACGACTGCCATCTTTGATTTCAGAATGTCACCTGTA